CCGGCTACGTTTTTTTTTTTTTTTTTGTAAGCCACGCAGTTTTATTTCGGTTAGATTAGTGGGATAAAAAGGATAGGAGGGTTGCTCTTTTTCATAGAACTAAGGCCCTGTCACAAGAGTTAGTGAAGAACTTAATGAGGTAAGTGTTGCGAACTGTGTGGCACTAATGAAGCGTTTGTTCTGTTTAAATGCTTATAAAACAGCAAATCTGATTTTGAACACCATATTGATTTTACAGAAGAAGTATAGTAAAAGGCCAAGGTAGCCCTTTCTGCGTTTCATTGTGAGTGTTCTTAGTGTTAAATGAGTATCGAGTAACTTGGACAATTTCAACCAACTTTGCTTTTAAATACTTTTCAAGTAGACTGTGTAATCATGATGCTATACTAAATTTTCTGTCATACACATTATTTTTTGCTAATCCCTACAGATAGATACTAACAGAACTCAGAATCAGTTGTTTATATTGGTTTTTTTAACCAGTCTGTGGGGTGGATACATGTTAATACCTTTAAATATGATGCAGAATTGAGGTTATTTTTGATGGTGATAAGCTGATATGAATTCAAGCAATGAGTCATTGAACAAACCCATTCCTTGCCAGATACTGATATGGTTGGTTTGTCTTATGTCGGAATGCTACGTTTTTCTGTCATAACTAACTGGATTAGGTACAAGAAAAAAATTGCGCCTCTACCTGATGTCTTTTGAGGCAAAGTCCTGTGTAAAAATAATTATACGAGCAGCCTCACTCTGCTAGTGTAGTTTACTTGGCTCAGGCACCTGAGATTAACCTTTCCTGGATTATGGTGCGTGGCTACTAAGTTGGTTTGCTGTTTTTTTCCAAAATAACAACTCTCTTTTTTGGAAAGCGACTTTTTTGGCTCATTTTAAACGAGCAATCTGAGAAAATGCCGTGTCCTATCAAGTTGATAGGACTTGATGCAGTCCTATCAAGTTAGTCTCTCTTTTTCTTAAAGGAAAAAAAAAACCCTGTCATTGATAGCAACTGTGCATCTCTTGCATTAAGTGTAGGTAAGACAAAATATATTCAGTGACAAGTGCTGAGTGTCATTTAAGGTGCAGGTCCTCAGCTCTTGGGACTCCCAGTTGGCATTGAACATCAGGTGTGGTGCATTGGGGTGGCTGCAGATGTGGTTCGTATTGATCAGGGGGCATGTAGCAAAGTCCGTGGTGGAATTATTCTTTAGGTAGTTTCTCTGTGTGTTGTGTGGAGTCTGGTTTTGCTGAGTATGTGACTTAACGTGCTCGGCGCGCATTGGCCTGAGCATCCTGGAAACCTGATTGCTGACATCATCGTCAGTGGATATCGTTGGTGTAACATTTGCCTTAAATTGAAAGTAGCTTTTCTCTTTGATATTCGAAAATGTAGCTTTATATTTCAGTAATTAAAGTAAAGCAGCTTCCATTAAAAAAAAAAAATACTGCTTCTAACTGAGTCTAGTACATAGCACTATCCTAGTTCAACCGAAGGTTGTTTGAGGATTATGGTAGGGTTTACTTAAACTTGTTAGATTTATTTGAAAATGTGCCTGTAAATTTTAGGTAACTCAAATCAATCTATATATTACTACTCTGACTGTTATATGACGTTTGTACCTCAGGTGTTCCCCTGAAGAATCAGCTTTTCTTCTGGTCTGTTGGACAATAGACTGGTGATGTTGGTTTGTGACTGCATGTTGCTTTTGCATCAAACTTGGTCGTAATTGCTATTGAGAGGAAGTATGTTATAGACATGCACTTTACATACATGTATTCATTCATATTCTTAATCTTACATTTCTTGTTATTTTGTAAAAACAATTATTTTACTAGTTTTCTTTATGTGTGGATGTGCTCACATTCTAATTTGTTTGATTAACATTTACAAATATCCTGTTACAATCTTTTTTTCTTAAATAAAGAAAGTACACAACATACAAGAAAGCTAATAAACCATATTTTTAATAATAAACCATGTCTGTAATGATAAAATCAACTTTAAAGAGACAGTATTATCTGCAGCTAGTGACCTAAACAAGAATATTTGTTCTTGTTACGATGTCAGCCATTCATTTACTTCAGTTCAGTAAACTAAAGTATAAAACGTGTTGTCTTTGTCCAAGAGAAGAGACTAGTATTACCAAAAGTTCATTCAGCATTTCAAATGTACTAGCTTCTGCTGCATGGCGAATAAGTCACCAATTCAGTAGCTGTATTTTTCTTCTTTTTATGTTTAAAAATAGATTAATCCCAAAATGATGTTAGTTAGTAGTTGTGCTAAACTTACTGTATAACACTGAATTTTATTTCAGGTTTTTAATTTAAATCACAAGATTACCCAGTCTTTAAATATTGGTTGTTATATTATGAGGACTTTGAATTGTAAGGCTGGAGGAGGACTACAGAAAACTTTATTTTTGTTAGTCTGTTCTGTATCAGAATTGAAATAATATAAATAATGAATGAGTTGAGTTGGATAATATCATGTAAGTTTGTGCTGAGCATCATTAAACTTGAGACAGAGCTTAAAATGTTGATCACTGCGTGTGCCTTGTATAAACTAAAATTTCTTTGTTAACAGTCACCACCAGAGCTCAGCTGATGATGTTCCTATTAAAGAAATCTTGGACTAGAAAGTGTGTAAAAAATTTGTATGTTAGGCTGCAGAGGTGGCCAAACCTCATGACTGTCCAGCTACGTACTGGGTCTTTTCGTGGCTGAGGCACGCTGTGTACCTTGGAGCTGGGATGTGTAAGACATCTGAGAGGCTTACAGATGAGGTGCTAGTGGTTCCTTAGGGATCCTTCTGGTTCACTGCGGGAAGGAACTGAGTTAAATGTAGCTGGGGCCTCTAACGGGTCAGGTTCTCAGAGTTAACACTAGCTGTGTGACAGAGCTGCGCTTGAACTGCTTGCCCGCCCATGTAGCTTGAGCCATGAATTTGTCAGCATGTGGATGAACAGGAAGGATTCACTTGTCAAGGTATTCCTCCATAGTGTTCTTTTCCCAGGCAAAAAGTAGAAGCTGATATTAAGTAAATGTCTTTACAAAGCAGAAGTGCCTTGTTGATCAGGTTAGAAACGGAACATCCTTTCAGGAAAAGCCCCTTCTGTGATGTCTGCTACCGTATGCCGTTTACTTGTGAGTTATTTACAACTGCTCTGTGTATTGATCATTTTTATCATGATAGGTCTGGAATTCAGAAAGATTTTTCCAGTAGTTTATATAAAGCAGAAAAGAAGAAGAGGGATAACTCTGTTACTTGCTGAAGTTGCTGAAGCAACTTATATATTTGCAAAACATCATGTACAAAATCTATTTAAGACACTGTTTAGAGGTTTTCTTATCTAGCTTGTGGCTTGTACTTTTTGACTTCTGACCCCCGAAACCCCAAATTTTCGTTAAGAAAATGAGTTAGTCTCCTAGTGCGCTCAAGGGCATACTGAAATACTTGCCAGGCCCAGCCCCCATGGCAATGTATTAAACTATGCGCGTGAGAAAGTAAAGCACTAAATCACGGTCAGCATGGAGCAAAATGTGATGTTATCTGTACAATATTACTTGTTATAAAGATGAGACTTTGGGAATGCTGCATTGACGGAATGCTGCATTGACCAAATGCTGAAGGTTATTCATCAGTGAATGTTAAAATGTGCTTTTATACAACCATTGTGAAAAGAGGTGGTTGGATGCCTTAATTTGTTGCTTGAAACAATACAAGAACAGTTCTAGTTCTCTTCTGTGTGAGGTTTAGAAACACAGTTTATTGTAACAAATATTGCAAGTAGTTAATTATGTTCCGTTACAGCAACTGTAGTTATTCTCTGAGTTGTTAAACCTTGTTTAGACATGTCAGAACATTTCACATAAGCTGTTGCAATTATGAACAATCTTAAACACACGCACAAAAAGCAAAAATTCTAGAGTGCTTTTTAATTTATCTGCTGCAATATTTTTCTTGACTACAGTTGTACTTGTGATAGTGATTGGGAATCTGCTGAAGTAGAAGTCCCTGAAATACACTACAGAAGCTGTAGTTAAGGGTTAAGTATTGAAATGTACTAATTAAAGGAAAAACAGCACAATACTACAGAATAGCACATACTTGGCTTCGAACATGTTTTTAAGATGACATTCTGCTGAAATCTAAGATAATCTGAAGAGTTTAATTTTCTAGAGTTATAAAACTCACTGCAAAATCTAACCATGTTCTCCTGATTCGGGTGACAAGCAGAATTTTGCATTAATATATGCAAACAAATTTAGCAATGGTTACTTTGTAAATTTTGGAGAGTAAGTTTCTGATATAGTGGGTAGAATTATGTGAAGTCTTGGTGAAAATCCGGTGATCTACTGCTGAGTATCAGTCTTTTGGTAGGTGACTTTCTATACAGAAAATTTTATTATAACTATCACTGATCTCTGCTGGTAGTTCAGAAATCACAGCTTTTGGCCCTTAAACTTCTGTTTAGTTGTGAGACGGAAACCTCATGAGTTTTTTTTTCTGGCTTTTCTTTTGGGAGGAGTGTGGGTGTAAGTGTTTTTTTCAGAAAGAGATGTTTCAGGAAGTGACATTCTGTAGCTGGCCTAAAAATTAAGTCTTGGTGACTTGGAATAAAACCAAAATCTAGCATGTCTGAAAAGTGTGTATACTACTGGGAGTGTTAAAATACATAAACAGTGTTTTAGGAGGTCCACAGAGCATCACAGTATAATACAGAGAGGATGATAACTTACATGAAAACACAGGAAACTGTCTGGATAGCCAAACGTATTAAGCATGATGTGAACTTCTGAAACGTGGTTTTGACCGCTAGCAAGAGGCAATACTCCTTAGGACAGGTGAGTGTGCATTTTTCTGAGTTACGGGTGGAGATGACACCATTTTGCTACCTCAATATTTTAAATATAAAAATAAATGAAAACCATCCATTGAGGAAAAAATAAAAGATGGAGATTTGTTGGAGCTGCTTCTTCTTGGGTGATAGTATAAAGCTCAGTCTTTGTGCATGGTGGTAGGATTAAAGATACAGAAATTTTGTAGTTTAATGTTAATCTGTACTGTTTCCTAGTGCCCAAGATGTATGCAGTGCGATACAAAATTTGACTTCATAACTAGAAAGGTAAGAGAAATCAATAAAACATAAAACTTTAACTGTTGCAAAATACTAATATGAGCTTTTTCTGATTTAAAAATGGAAAAGCCTGATATAACTTTAAAATAGTTTTTCTTTCTGTTCTCTCTTTTCTGGGTAGAGATCCTTTTTGCTCTAATTCTGTTCCTTTGACGTTCTGCTTGTTTGCTCGGTATGAAATACAATGAGGTTTTGGTTCATTGCTAGGGTTATTCCAAAATACTGGGTACCCATGGGATTTACATTCAAAGGAAGCGTTAGAACAACTCATGACAAGAGTGTACTGCTAATGTCAGCACTAACATACAAACCAAATCGACTAATTTGATTGTATTTTGGGAGATAAAAGTCAGTTGTGGAAATGCAAGCAAAAAGTTTTTTGAATTACAACCAATTGCAATCTTACGTTG